TGGTGGGTATCTAATTTAAATTATCATTTCTCTGATTATTAATGAGGGTGATCATCTTTTCATGTAAGTAATTTGAATCTTCTCCTCAACAAATTATTATTGCCTTTGCCTATTTTTTACTTTTATTTTTAATTATATTCTTGGAGCTATTTGTGAATTATAGAGACATAGTCACAATGAAGTTTGTGTATAGGATCCTTTCATGTTTTTACTGACTACTAAAATCAAGAGTATTTATAAAATAGGCATAGAATATAAAGAAAAAAACAGTGACACAAACACCCATTTGTCAGCCCCCTGCTGCAGCTCATACTATAAGTATGTCCCAGCTTGTTCTCATTCCCCCAATTAATTTACTTTATCATTCTCATTCTTAACTTCAAAATTTTACACTGGTATCTCTAAGCACTCTTATTTTGTTTGTGTCTTATCTTTACATAAATAGAATCATACACATCTTTTGCAATTTGCTTTTTCCTCTCCATGCCATATTCCAGAGATTCACCATTGTTATGTTTCAGCACAACTTATTCACTTACATATGGAACAGATTTATTATATGAATATACTACAATTCATTTATCCATTCTGCTGGTGAGGATATTTGGGTTGTTTCCAGGTTTTGCTATTGTACAACAGAGCTGCTAGGAATACTCTTGTACATGATTCTTGGTGGACATGGACAGGATGTCTCTTGGATATATAAACAAGTGAAGACTTGCTGGGTGATAGAGTATGTACATCTTCAATTTTGTTAGGTAATGATTTCCAAAGTGCTTCTGCCAATTTACACTTCTACCAGCAGATTACTAGATTTCTGGTTGTTTCACATATTCACCAGCACTTGGTAAGGTCAGACTTTAATTTTTTTTTGCAATCTGACAGGTGTAAAATAGTACCTCATCTGGTTTAATTTCACACTTCCCTGATTACTAACAGGGTTGAACACCTTGTCATAAATGTTCTGACCATTTGGATTTCCTGTTTTGTGAGGTGCCTGTTTAAGGCATGACACTTTTCTCTTGTGTTTCTTTTCTTGATTTATTGGAGCTATTTACATAACCTAGATACTAATCCTTTGTCAGTTTCATGTGCCGTAAATATTTCTCCAAGTTTGTGGGTTTCTCCATTGTGTCTTTTGAGAAATGGAAGTTCTTCACTTTAATATAATTTGACTCACCAATTATCAATCTTTTCCTTTATGGTTTATGCTTTTTGATCCTTGTTTAAGAAATCCTTTCCTACCCTGAGTAAAAAAAAATTATCCTATATAATCTTCTAAAAGTTTTATAGTTTTGTCTCTTACAGTTAAATCTTACTTTGAGTTGATGTCTTTGCATAGTGTGAGGTATGGGGTGGGGAATCTAATAAAATTTTTTAAAAATATGGATACTCATTTTTCCCAGAATAATTTATTAAAAACATTATTCTTTCTTCATTGATCTACCCATGCAGCTATCATAAATCAAGTTTCCCCATATAAATGGATCTGTTTCCAAGCTCTCTATTCCATTGCAGTGAATCTCTAAATCAGTTTAGAGAGAAAAGACGTTTCTTTTTGCCGCTCAATTAAAAAAGAATAAAAGATTAAAGAATTTTATGGTAAACATCCATATATCCACCCTCTAGATTCTACAATATCCATTTTACTACATTTGCTTTATCACAGTCATCCCTCTCACCATCCATTAATCCATTCATTTTTAAATGTATTTCAAAGGAGGTTGCTGACATGTCACCCTTACAGACATCAAGCTATTGATTATATGTATTTCTTTTATACCTGGCACTTTATTTTCTAGATTAAAAAAAAAAAAAAAAAAACCCGTTGCCATTGAGTTGATTCCGACACATAGTGACCCTACAGAACAGAGTATATGTGCCCCATAGGGTTTCCAAGGAGGGGCTGGTGGATTCGAACTGCCAGCCTTCTGGTTAGCAGCCGAACTCTTAACCACTACACCACCAGGGTTTCCATATTCTAGATAAACAATCATATAATCCTCAAATAAAGATACTTCTGTCTCCTGTTCCAAAATTTAGACTATTTAATTATCTTTCTGAAATTAGAAAATTCTCAAAATCAGTGTTAAAAATAGTGATGATAGTGGGCATTCATGTCTTATTCTCATGTTTGTGGAACTGGCTTTAGTATTCATCATTTAATATGATGTTTTGGGTTGGTCTCTGGTAAAAAATTTATCATATTTACATACCTTCCCTCTAATCCTATTTTTAGTTAACCAGGTTTTACTGTAAGGGTCTGAGGAATTATATCAAATGTCTTTTAACTTCTATTAATATAATAATATAGCACTTGACATTTTCTTTTTTGATATGACTATATTGCTAGATTTTCTAATGTGGCACCTTATAGTATCACATTTCTAGAATCAACCCAACCTGCTTATGGAGGATTCAATTTACTAACATCATATTTAAAATAAATGATTTAAAATAAATCAATATGCATGAGAGGTTTCCTTTTGTACAATCTTTATTAGTTTATAATACTGTAGCTACAAAAAATAAATTAGAAACGTTCTACCTGAAGTAATTTACATAAAATACCAGTTGCCGTGAAGTTGATTCCAAATTCATGATAACCTCGTGTTTCAGAGTAGAACTATGTTTCATAGGGTTTTCAATGGCTGTGATCTTTTGGAAATAGACTGCCAGGCTTTTCTTTCAAGGGGCCTCTGGGTGGATTCAACCTGCCAACCTTTCAGTTACTGGTTGAACACTTAACTATCTGTGCCACCCAGTTAAATAAACAAAACAGCCTGTGAGTCAGAATCAACTTGATGACAGTGGGTTTGTTTTGGGGGGTTTGGTATCTACTTTTACAGGTTAGATAGCATTCAGGTAGAAAACCACCTGGGCCCGGTGCTTTTAAAAATGGAAACTACTAAAATACTTTTCAGATTTCTATGATTTTAGACTTGTCCAGGTTTTCTTCTTAGGTCTATTTAAATACTTTATATTTTGGTAGGAAATCTTCCATTTCCTATAGATTTTTCAAATCTTCTGTCATAGAGTTTGCATACTATCTTTAAAACAATTCTTTAAATACATATATCTCCTTTCTTATTTCTAATGCTGCATTTTTTTGTTTTCTCTATTTTTTTCTTATCCCATCCTTCCAAGGGGCTACTTTTTACCTGGAATAATTTACATACTTCTACTGTGGATTTTTCGGGGGGAGAAGGCAAAGACCAGGTTTTTAGTTTCAAATAAAACTTCATTAATCTCAGTTTATATCTTTACTATCCTCTCATTTCTATTTTCTTTTTTTGGTTGTTATTCTTTTCCTATTATTTTGAATACTTACTCTTTTTCAGTATTTTATTTTTAATAATAAAAACATTTAAATTTATAAATTTAAGTTTTTAAATTTATAAAGTTTCCTTTGAGTACAATGTACTCTAATTCATTTTTTGGAAATCTAGTCCATAGAAATAAAAGTGCTATATATAAGAACATAAGCAGAGGGATGTTTGCTATATCATTTTCCATAGTAGTAAGCGAACAAACAAACAAAAATGTATACAGGCTGAATGCTCATCAATTCTGTTATGATTGCCTAAGTTATAGTACAGGCTCACTACAGAATATTATCTTGCTATTTAAATCTGTGTCATGGATTGAACTGTGTCCCCCAAAAATATGTGTCAACTTGGTTAGGCCACAATTCCCAGTACTGTGTGGTTGCCCTCCATTTTGTGATTGTAATTTTATGTTAAAGAGGATTAGGGTGGGACTGTAACATCCTTACTAAGGTCACATCCTTGATCCAACGTAAAGGTGGTTTCCCTGGAGTGTGGCCTGCACCACCTTTTATCTTACAAGAGATAAAAGGACAGGGAAGCAAGGAGAGAGTGGGGACCTCATACCACCAAGAAAGAAGCACCTGGAGCAAAGCGTGTCCTTTGGACCCGGGGTTCCTGTATGGAGAAGCTCCTAGTCCAGGGGAAGACTGATGACAAGGACCTTCCTCTAGAGCCGACAGAAAGAGAAAGCATTCCCCTGGAGATGGCGCCCTGAATTTGGACTTCTAGCCTACTAGACTGTGAGAAAATAAATTTCTCTTTGTTAAAGCCATCCACTTGTGGTATTTCTGTTATAGCAGCACTAGATAACTAACACAATCTGTATATCTTGCTCTGGAGAAATGTTTATAAAATATTATTATGTTTATAACAAAGTGGAAGAGTAATGTGATTAGTAGGATTCCAGTTTAAAAAATACATATCGAAACACATACACACCAAAATAGATTTTTGTTTTTGTATATGTGTATGTTTTTATGTATAATACATATATGAAAGTCAGTATAACCAAACCTACTTGGTTATTTTAAAGGAACAGATTTGATGTGCTAGGAGGAAAATAAACCTATTGTTTATATATATCCTCACTGCTTGACTTGTTTAAATATGAATTTATTACTTCTATAAATTAAAACATACAATTAAAAGGACAAAGATCTATTACAATGCTATGGAACTTCTGGTATTAATTTGAGGAACTGATTTGTAAATTTTATTGACTAACCTCCATACATAACCTTTATCATAACTTTTTTATCAGGTTCTTTGCAATATAAATCATTATTGTGAAAATTTCTTTTAGATAAAAATCAAATAATGGGTTAAGACCTACACTGTTTTGATCTTCATATTCTTTTTCTTCCTCTTCTTCTGTATGACTGTGTTAGTGTTTATTGAAACTCTGGGTTGTTATCCTATGAAATTTCTAGAAGGCCCACTGAAAAATTCCCTTCAATAGTAAACTTGTGGAGACCTGAAGAGATAAAAATACTAACCAAATAGGAAAAAATTACAAAAAAAAGGGAGAAGGGAGTTCTCCTATTCCGTAACTAAGTATTAGTTGTGAGAACACAAAGGACTTATGATTAAGTCCATTTTTATACTGCACAAACCAAGGTGTTAGTGAAGTTAGTCAAAACAAAAGCAAAACAACAAAATAATCAACAATACCTTTTTCTTGTAATATTTTCTTGGCGGTGGCTTGATGGTGGCAAGAAGATTCCTCCATATTGTGATCAGATTTTGAAGGAGAGGAGAGTGAACTATCTCCCCAAGTAGAGGAGAAAGGTCCCCTTTCTGGGTGCAGTTGTCTTTCTTGAAATTCAGGTGTGTGGTCAGACGAGGAGGATGCTCTGCTAGCCATTGGGGTGAGGGGCAGAGCACCCGAATCTGATTCTGGAGAAGAAGATCTCAAACCCTTGGGCAGAAGTGATTTGGTAATATGCATGTGGTTATAGAAACTGTTTGAAGGCTGTGGGTATAAGAGATTATAAAGGAGGTTATGCTACTGAGTATTAATTCCAATCACTTTGAAATAACACCAACCTTTTGTTAGTGAATGCCCCTGAAAACCAATTTTTGTTGGTTTACAGATGAGAATGAATAGTTTACAACAATTGACCATATTACCATTGTAGCTAACACAGATACCTAAGACATATAATTTCCTGTAAATTCATTATTTCCCACTAGGTAAAACCAACAGTTGAATATCAAAAGCACCATCATGAAATACAACAATATGGATAATGCTCTTGGTTAGTTCATTGAATGAGTAGAGAAAACCATTTCAACTGCAACAATATACCAAGTTGAGTAATAATTCAGGAAAACAAAGAAGTGAACTATTCCAGTTATTTCCAACTAGGGCATGGAATCTGGTTGCAGAAAAATCATTGTTATCAATACACTGTAGGAACAATGATACAGCACAACATAGCAAGTCAGAAAATGGTCAAGGGTGCTCACCTTTCTCTCTAGACTGTCCTCCCCATCTGTGGAACTGACACTGTCATAGAGTCTTGTCCTGGAGGGCCTCTGACGTTTGTTCTTCACAGAGAGCTGGGCCCGAGTTTTCAGTGCCTTTGAATCCAGGCGCTCTGTCTCTGGGACGGCTTCATTCAAGTCTAAGAAAAGAATATTGCAAAATAATTAGTGAGAGAAACCTCTGGAGAGGATTGACAAAGAGACCACAAACACTGATAATAAAATCTCAAGATTATCAGTGATACCAGGCAAGAAACAGGTGACAACCATGACAGCCTATCTGACATGCCATAGGTAACAAAGGAAGCAGTACGATTTTGGATAAAATGTACAAAGCTGAAAGGAAGAAACCAACACTAAAGATAACCAAGGCAACAACAAAAATCCAACATCCAAAGGTAAAAGAGCATAAAATCTTACCTACAACATAAGTACAAAAAGCACTGACTTGTATTTGCTTATTCATGTGTATGCATGTTTGAGTGTTTGAAGAACAAAGATATAAGGGGAAGATATATTCAAGTTGGGAGATCTTAGAAACCAAGGACAAAAACCTACAGAAGTCAGTTTGCAAGGTCAAATGTCGGCAACATAAGGTGACCATCGGCATAAATATTACTCCATTTAATTTTTTTCTAAAGCAAAATAAGCTATAAAGACTGCACCATTTTGGTGTTAGTTTTTTTTTTTTTTTTTTTTTTTACCTAAAACAAAGTTTCTGAAAATCTAGCTTCTTTGAACCCTCTAGAAAGACCACTGAAGAACTAACCTCAATAGCAAATTTAAGGCAGCCAAGGAGATAAAAACACCAAACAAGGTCAGATTACCAAAGCAAACAAACACAAGTACTTAATTAGCAGTATTATGGATGGGGTAGGATAAGCATTTCCTTTTCTTTCATTAACTTCTAAGTTTATATTCAACATTACTTCTATGTTCTTCTGTCTGTCTCATTTGTTTTCCTGGATACCTTCTCTCCTCACCTGAAATTACCCTGATTCTCCATAGGAAAATGTTACATCTTTAAATGAAAACTCTCAAAGAGAAGAAAAAAGAGTAAAGTGGAACACAAAAAAGATGAACTAGTAAAGGCTAAAGGGAGAGCCCAATGTGAAGCCTATTTTATCTTTCAATGTGGCAGCCATTAGATGAAATCATCTTCTTCAAGGAATTAATAATTAAATGCTTCTCAATTTAAATTATTAAAAATTAAGCAAATAACTGAACCGCAGATTTTTTTTTTAAATAATATTTTACTGTGTTTTTGGTGAAGGTTTTACACAGCAAGTTAGGTTTCCATTTGACAGTTTCTACACAAATTGTTCAGTGACATTAATTATTTTTCACAACTTGAGAGCAACTGTTGACCTTTTGGTCTCATACAGATTTTTTTTTTTAAGTAGAAGCACTGTTCTTATGGGTGATATCCTTCATTTTGTGTGTCATTCTGTTATTTCACTAAAAGGTGATCTCAGGATAGTTTTGGTTCAAGGCTTAAAGACTGTCTCAGGACAACAGTCTCAAGGAGTCCTCTGGTCTCAAGTGTTAGTCTGGCTTTTTAAGAATTTGAGTTTTATTCTACATTTTTCTCCCATTCTATTCAGAGCATCTATTGTGACCCTAGTCAGAATGGTCAGAAGTGGTAGCTGGGTACCAACTAGCTCTTCTGGTCTCAGGGTAGATGAGGCCCTGGCTCATGTAGGCTATCAGCCTTGTGGATTTGTTTCTTCTCTTAGATTTTGGTTACCTTCTTACTCTTTTGCTCCTGATGAGTTGAGATCAATAGTTGTATCTCAGATGGCTGCTCACAAGCTTTTAAGACCCCAGATGCTACTCACTTCACTAGGATGCAGAATATGAACTTTGTGAATTATATTATGCTAATTGACTGAGTTGTCCCATGAGACTATAGTTCTAAGGTTTCAAACTTAGAAAACTAATCTCAGAAGGTGTTTGGTTATATCTGAGGAGTATCTGTAGTTGTGTCTTCAGCGAATATATGTGCCTGCAGGCACATATCTGTATTTACACACATATATGTAAATACTTCTATCTGTTGTCACATATGTATACATCTGTACCATATAACTACATGCCTACACTCATCCATTTGTGATCATACACTCGTGTTTTGGTCTTTGTTGGAGTTGCTGCCATCCTATATATGTCAAATTCTTTAGTACAGGCATCTTTTTCTCTTGAGCACTTCTCAGTGACATCATTTACTTTGGTTATCCTGTGCTCACTACCCCTACATTTGGTGTCACTTTTCCCATTACCAAAAATAACAAGTATCAATGATCTAAAGTGTGCTTTCCCCTCCCCCACCACTTCTTCTTGGTAACCACCAATGAACATTAGTCTCTTTACATATATCTATTCTTGTTTGTTTATAAAAAAGGGATTATATTAATATTTGCTCTTACATGCATGACTTACTTCACTTAGCATTATGCACTTCAGGTCCATCCATGTTATAATATGTTTTGCGGGCTCATTATTCATTACTGTTCTTTATGGTTGCATAGTTTTCCACTGTATGTATGTACCACATTTTGCTTATCCATTCATCTGTTTACAGACACTTCAGTTGTTTCCATTTTTTGCTATTGTGACTAAAGCTGCAATGAACACAGGTGTGCATATGTCTGTTTGTGTCACTACTTTTAGGTCTCCAGCAGCCCTGGTGGTGAAGTCGTTAAGAGCTCAGGCTGCTAACCAAAAGGTCAGCAGTTCAAATTCACCAGCCGTTCCTTGGAAATCCTATGGGGCAGTTCTACTCTGTTGTATAGGGTTGCTGTGAGTTGGACTTGACTCGACAGCACACAACAACAACAGGGTAAATACCTAAGAGTGGGATTGCTGGATCATATCGTAGTTCTATTTCTAGTTTTTTGAGGAAGCACCATACCGTTTTCCATAGTGGTTGTACCATTTTACAGTCCCACCAGCAATGGATAAGGATTCAAACTCCCCACATCCTCGTCAATATCTGTTATCTTTTTTTTTTTTTTTCTAATCAGTGTCATTTTAGCTGGGGTGAGATGGCATCTCCTTATAGTTTTGATTTGCATCTCTCTAGGGGTTAATTAATGATCATGAGCATCTTTTCATGTGTTTGTTGGCTGCTTGGATGTCCTCTTTGGCAAAGGATTTATGTCCTTTGCCCAGTTTATAATTGGGTTGTCTTTTTGTTGTTGAGTTGCTGAGGTTTTCTATAAATCCTAGAGATTATCATATTTTTATGCAAATAATGCACACCTTCTACATTTGTTTGCCAACCGCGCCCTCCCCATGAGGTATTTTTGTAAGCACCGCTACGCCAAATATTTTTTAAACATCTTATTGTGCTTTAGGTGAAAGTTTATATAGCTAATTAATTTTCCAATCAATGATTTTTACACAAATTGTTTTGTGACATTGGTTGCAATTCCCGCAATATGTCAGCACTCTCCTCATTTCCTCCCTCGGTTCTGTGTTTCTATTAGTATGGCTTCCCTGTCCCTGTCGTCTCATCTTTGGTTTGGGGCATATATTGCCCTTTTCATCTTGTATAGTCGACTTTTCTAAGAAGCACATTCTTCTCAGATATTATTGTTTACTTTACAGTCCCATCTATTAGTAGGCTGAAAGGTGGCCTCCAGGAGTGTCTATAGTTTCAAGTTAGAAGGTTGTTTTAGGGCACTCAGGGGTTCCTCCAGTCTCTTTCAGACCAGAAAGTCTGGTCTTTTTTTTTTAATTTGAATTTTGTTCTGTATTTTTTTACCCATTTTATTACAGGACCTTCTATTGTGATCCCAGTCAGAGTGGTCAGCAGTGGCAGCTGGGCTCCATCTAGTCCTTCTGGTCTCAGGTTAGAGGAGGCTGTGGTTCATGTGGTCCATTAACCCTTTGGACTAATTGCTTACTTGAGTCTTGGGTTTTCTTTGTTCTCCTTTATTCCAGGCAGGAAGAGAACAACAGTTGCTTCTTAGATGATTGTTTGCAAGCTTTTAAAACCCCAGATGCTACTCACCAGGCTAAGATGTAGAATATTATCTTTATGAACTGTGTTTTGTCAATTGACCTAGATGTCTCCCAAGACTATGGTCCTTAGCCTTCATGTCTAGTATTCACTCCTGACATCTAAGTAGTTTCTGTAATTGTGCCTCTATATGCTCTATTATATATATACCTGCAGCATTTACAAATATGTATATAGAAATATCTACAACCATACCTATATACGTACATAGGTGTACTCCCATATGACCCCCTCATTATTTAGCATACATATCAACTATGCATCTACTCCCAAATTATTATTACTGTTGTTGCAGGATTTTATGTTACAGCATTTACTGTGGTTGCCCTTTATTCTTGCATAACTCTCAGTGTCTTCCTTTGCCTTGGTCATGTTGTACTGACTTCCTCCATATTGTATATTGTCTTGCCAGAACGAACTCTTGTCTACTATCTAGTAAAGTGATTCTCCCTCCCTGCCTCCCTGGTAACCATCAAAGAATGTTCCTTGCTGTGTGCAAACCTATTCTTGACTTTTTATAATTGTGGTCTCATACAATATTTGTCCTTTTGTGACTGACTTATTTCACTCAGCATAACGTCCTCAGATTCATCCATGTCATGAGATGTTTCATGGATTTCTCATTATTCTTTATCGTTGTGTAGTATTCTACTGTATGTATCATATTTTATCTACTCATCCACTGATAGGCATTTAGCTTGTTTCCACCTTTTTGCTATTGTGAACAGTGCTGCAATGAACATGGGTGTGCATTTTACATCTATTCGTGTTACGGCTCTTATTTCTCTTGGATATACACCCAGAAGTGGGACTGCTGGATCATATGATAATTCCATTTTTAGCTTTTTAAGAAAGTGTCATGAGGTTTTCCATAATGGTTGTACCATTTTAAATTTAAATCAGCAGTGTATAAGAGTTCCAATCTCACCACAATCTTACCAGCATTTGTGATTTTCTGATTTTTGATCAATGCCATTATTGTCGGGGTGAGGTGAAATCTCATTGTAGTTTTGATCTTTTTATGTTTTTACAGACTACTAAAATTAAGAGTATTTATAAAATAGTTGTAGAGTATAAAGGAAAAACAAAGTGACACAAACACCCATCTGCCATCCC